TTCCTCTGTGGAAATTTAAGATTCAAGAAATATGATGTATGTGCTCTGTTTAATAAACACGAGAATACAGCACAAAGCCAGAGCAATTGAAAACTACTGCTGTCCTCAGAGAAGTGATGCAGAATCTGAGGGCATAGTTTCAACAAAAACAGTGTGCACCAATTGTGCACATCTACACCAAATGAATATGATTACTAGAGATGTTTGAATGGAGATCGGGTACCAAGATGAGGTGCATCACTATCAGAATACGAAATGGTCCCGGTATCTGTACTAATCCCAATGGTGCTTTATTTATATGCCTTCACTTAATCATAGATATACTGTAATTTTATCCCTTCTCGTTTTTAGGTATAAAAAAATAGAAGTAGTGTATGAAGTTTGATATGCCTAATACCTAATCACAGAAATAGTACATGTATACTTGAACACTTAGCCCAGATTCACACCTCCTCCCAATACAATATTGTCATAAATACAGCACAACAAATGCACATACCAAACACTTAACTGTTACTTAATTTTTCAGTTGTACGTATGTTGAAGCAATATTAAAGGGTGCAGCACAGACCCTAGTTAAACTCAGTATCAATGGGAAACCTGACAGCCCATATTCTTCTCACAGCCATAGCATAAAAATTTGCAACAGCAAAAAAATCCAGAGATTTTATACTCTGGCATGCCAGCAACGGGTCCTAGGGGAGAGCATCAATTTAGTATGGATCATTTTTTTCTGCTCAACTTTAATGCCCTTAAATTATGTGATAGTTATTAACACAAGATAATGAATAGAACCCCTACTTCAAAATAAATCTCATAATGGAATAAAGTGCTTATGGTTTCAGACACAACTGTTTAAGTGTCTGTAGATGTGTTAAGTGACAAGGATTGAATGTTTAAATGAAAAAGGACTGAAAATCCTGACCCTCACTAAAATATCCATGACGAAATTCCAATACAACACTCAGATATTTGACTGAAGGTCAAGTTAACTCAGACTTAACCTTCGACACACATTGTTCCTAAGATGCATCAAATAAAAATTTCTCATAATCTTGGGCCTTATCAAATTATGTGACCCAGACAAAGATCAAGCAGTGACTGTGGATGGATCCCAAATTCCCAAATGGTGTCAATGGGTCTCTATTATAACAGGGATTATGACCCCCCCCCCTCCCCCCCTAATAGCTACTACAGGGATATAGAAAGGTTAATAAAAGGCCATATTATTTAACAATGCAGCAACAAAATGTGAAACTGTAAGGGCTAATACACCATTACGAGGCTTACCAAAAGCAAAATTAACAATAAACCTTACAAACTCATAAACACACACAAACATAACACTCTCACACACACATACACACATATATATGTAAGTTCGAGATGTATAATGTTCCAAACATTGATATTTTTCACAAAGTCCATCCCTTAACCATTATGCTTTCTTCAGTTCAGAGTCCTATCAGTCTGGTATACCTCTCATCCTCCTGTAAAAAACAACCAATCATATTCACTAAGGGTTTTTTATCCCTCCAATTAGGAATAGTACCAAAAGCGATTTAATTTGGAGAAATAACAGCAAAATATAAATATTGTAGTGAGAATTTATTGATGTCTATCAATTTGCATCCTGAAATTATAACAGGATTAAAATAGAAATAAATTAAATTCCATGCATGACAAGACCTAAGACTAATATATATCATGCCACCCAATTATGTGGGTTATATGTATTTTTTTTCAGCAACAGCTGCAACATTGATTCCCATACTAACAACCAAATAAAGCATTTTATTGTTTTTAAAAGTATATCTAAATTTCATGTTTTTCAAGACCTAAGCCATTTGGAATATACTGCAGAGTCAACATTCATGGGGGCCAGTTTTCCTGGATTGTTTAAATTGAACAGGTTTTTGGGGATGTAATTTCATGTATTTTCTCATACCGGGTATATTTAAAAAAGAAAAAAACTCTGAAACTAAAGGGTTTTTTTTCAATTCATGGAGGATGTAAATTTGTAGATGAGAGGAACCCAGAAGTCCACATATACTGAGCCACCATGAAATGTAATGATACCAGAGTATGCTGTTTACAACACGTCTCACCAAAAAATTTAAGTCTGCTTCCAGAAATCAAAGTTTTTGAAAACTTGTATGTTTCATACTTAGTGATTTACAATGTAGAATGCAGTATTCATTGAGAAGTTTAAAGAGGAATTTTTATTCTCATAATTTTATAAAAATCAATGTTTTTTGGCATTATCAGCACCAGTTGTATAAGGGAAAAAACAATGATCATATTCATCTTAAAGCATGAAAATTCGTAGTTTTATAAAGAAATGTAGCAATTCTGTGATATGAGTGTGTTGTCAAATCCTGTTCTTAAATAATTGAGACATCTGTGTATAGACTCAGGTGACCTACTGAGAAAGTTTGTGTATGGACTCAGGTGGCCTACTGAGAAAGTTTGAATATGGTCTCAAGTGATCTACTGAGAAAGTTTGAGCATGGATTCAGGTGACCTACTGAGAAAGTTTGAGCATGTACTCAGGTGACCTACTGAGAAAGTTTGAGCATAGATTTAGGTGACCTTCTGAGAAAGTTTATGTATGGACTCAGGTGATCTACTGAGGAAGTTTGAGCATGGATTTAGGTGACTTTCTGAGAAAGTTTATGTATGGACTCAGGTGACCTACTGAGAAAGTTTGAGCATGGATTTAGGTGACCTACTGAGAAAGTTTGTGTATGGACTCAGGTGACCTATTGAGGAAGTTTGTGTATGGACTCAGGTGACCTACTGAGAAAGTTTCAATAAGGAGTAAAAACTCTATCTTACCTTCTGGTGTTCTGGTCAAACCAATCTTCTGTCCTACATGTTCTTCTAAGACTGGTGTAGAAGGCCAGTCCAATTCTTTGTCTGTTAACAAAGAACAAAGGAAGATTAATAACAAAAGAATGTTCATACTTTATCTAATGGCAAAGAAATGTGAAATTTCAAGCAGAAAAAAAGAAAAATATGTGTTATACCTTACTTTTATGTTAGGCAAAAGTTCCTCCCAGTTTAAACATGAATGCTCTTGAACTGGATCCAGGCTAGCGTAACTCCCTGTTATCAAAGAATATAAAAAGATTAACAGAATTAAATTACTTAAAGATATGGAATCTCTCAGAATGAATGGATTAGAGCTTGTATATTACCCTCACTTCTACAGTGGGCTGCAGGCAATGAGTATTCTTCACACTTTTCCATCAACAAGAAGAACTGCTTTTAAACATTTGATGAAGATCGGCCTTGTCCCTTGTCTGTTAACACAGAATGTGTACAGATCAGTTAATAAAGGTACAAAGAATTCAACAGGTGAGAAATAGGGATATCAATTTACACAACGCAAGTAGTGGATCTAACTTTTTACCATCTCCTGCAGGCCATAGTCAATTCTGGGTCTCAGTGCTCCTTTAGCTGGTGTTAAACTCTTCCTAACCCAGAGAGTGGGAGACTGCACTCAAGGCCTCTGTGAACATAGATAGAGTCAAATATGTGTTCTAATTAGGCAGAAAACAGAAATCATGATAGTGCAACAAATGCAGCTTGTTTCTTACCACTTTGACTAATAAATGTCTGCTGATATAATGGACACCCTATACCCTGGCAATGTACTCCTCCTTACTGTGTGGCTATTTGGTATCCAGCTCTTGGTACTCTTGCTAGCAGGTGATGTTATCTTCCAGACCTTTGACAGTGTGAGGGTCTGGTTGTCCTTGTTTCTTTAAGACAGAGATTTTACATAAAAGAGGCCCCAGCCATAATCATGTGTGAAAGAGCACAAGCAATAGATTTTTTCTATCTTACCCTTTCTTCCATGGCTGGATGCTGTTGATCTCCCTTCCCTGAACTCCTCCTAAAGAGTGATAGATGTGTTCTCTGCCACAAAATTGAAGCTTGCCTAACCATTACTCTGTAAATAAAGAGAGTCAAGTGTACTGTGTGTCCTAATTGGACTGACTAAGAATAAAACATATCCATCAAAAAATGTAGCATATATGGCTTGTTTCTTACCACTTTGGCCAATGTTGGCCTGTTGGTTTAGTGGATACCCTGTATCCTGGCAATGGTCTCCTCTTCCTTGTGTGGTCCTCTTCTTCCTTGAGTGGTCCTCTTCTTCCTTGAGTGGTCCTCTCCTCCTCGTGTGGTCCTCTTCTTCTTTGTGTAGTCCTCTTCTTCTTTGTATAGTCCTCCTCTTCCTTGTGTGGTCCTCTTCTTCATTGTGTGATCCTCCTCTTCAGTGTATGATCCTATTCTTTCTCAATTTGGCATCTGTCCATACCCGCTGTCACCTGAAAAATTGTCAGAAAACAGTTTAATTATTAAGCTCTTAGTACTTTAGTTGTACAATATTGAGATTTTAGATAAAAGGAGACTCATTCTACATCAGTTAAGATGAGCACATAAAATGGACCCCATGTGTGAAAGAGCAGAAACCATGGATTCAGTACATTTAATTTGTATTTTACCCTTTCTTCTACGACTGGCTGCTGTGGATCTCGGTTCCCTGGACTCCTCGTTGTGAGCGATGGAAGTGTCCTCTACCATGAGATCAAAACTTTTCTAACCATTATTCTGTTAATATACAGAGTCCAGAGGTCAAATGAGTGTCCTTATAAAGTGGACTAACTAAGAATAAAACATAGCAATCAAAAAATGTTACATATGCAGCTTGTTTCTTACTATTTTGGCCAATGTTGGCCTGTTGGTTTAGTGGATACCCTGTATCCTGGCAAAAGTCTCCTCTTCCTTGTGTGGTCCTCTTCTTCCTTGAGTGGTCCTCTCCTCCTCGTGTGGTCCTCTTCTTTTTTGTGTAGTCCTCTTCCTTGGGGGGTCCTCTTCTCCTTTGTGTGGTCCTCTTCCTTGGGGGGTCCTCTTCTTCATTGTGTGGTCCTCCATATGCAGCTTGTTTCTACCACTTATGTCAATGTTGGCTTGTCAACATAGTGGATACCCTGTATTCTGGTAATGGTCTCCTCATCATTGTGTGGTCATCCACAATTTGGCATCTTTCTATACCTGCTGTCATCTAAAAGTTTATTTTAGCTTTTGATACTTCAGTTGGTTAGATACTGAGATTCAAGATCAAAGAGAGCTCAGTTTACAACAGTTGAGATTAGCAGAAGAAATGGAATCAGTGATATATACTTTACCCTTTATTCAGTGGTTGGCTTCAGTTGATCACAACTCCCTGGACTCTTCTTCAAAAGTAGTGTTGTCTTTTTTTGTATGGGGACTGAGATTAACTATAATTCTGTTAATATACAGAGTCAAGAGTCAAACTAGTACCAGTCTTAAATAAAGTGAAAATATTAAATCAAAATCTAAATTGCAACAAACGCTGCTCGTTTCTTACGACTTTGGCCAATGTTGGCCTGTTGGCATAGTGGATACCTTGTATCCTGGCAATGGTCTCCTATTCCTTGTGTGGTATCTGCTGCCATCTGTCCATCCCTCCTTGTGCCCTTAATAATGGTAGAAACTAATACAGGATTAGTACAGTTCCAAAACAATTGAAAAAGTACCTTTTAATGCATCATTCTTAAACAAAAACATGTGACAATTACATATTTAGGAAAGACACAAACATTTGTAAATGAAAAGAGCAAAAAAGTTTATGTTAGTAATGTAAGTAAAAAAAGGGAAGGGGAGAGGAATACATGCAAAAGACAAAAATACAGCTCACCTTATCTCTGGCTTACAAGATCAAAATACAACCTTTCCTTGGGCTCATTGGGTACCACTGGCTCCATTCTGTCTAAATTACATTTGTAAAATGTTTATATAAACAAATAAATCTAATTTCTAAAATAAAATGTTTCAAGGTACTTTATATGTTAAACCCACAACAAATGAAATTTATTTTGTGTTTTTTCTAACCTAATTAACTATTAACACATACATTAACTTATACATTTTTATATGTAAAGAATTGCATCGTCATAGGCTGTTCCTTGGCAGTTGAAATAGAAATATTTAGTCTCAAAATTGGGAAAAATTAACTTTCTGGCATTGGGAATGGTACAATTTATCAATACCAGTTCTTAGCACTTCTTGAAAAAACTTAACAAGATAAATATTAATGAAATTTTCAAATTGATTAATGCTAAATCAGAAATATTTATTATCACTAATATTGATGAATGCATTTATTGTTTAGTAAACATCATGGGGACTTCAAGTTTGAATGTAACATGACGTTTAACCCAATGAATTTTCAACAACCTTCTCAGAAAATAATTAGTTTACTTGTTATTGATTGACCCCTCCTTGAAATGATATTATGGACATATTTGCAATTTAGTTTTGAACTTTATTTTCTTATTCCCTGTGTTGTTAAAGAGTTGCAATAATTGAAGAACCTTTGTACCATTCTATGATGCCTGGAAATTTTGAACAACTCATCTGAATCAAATTTGTTAGGAAATATACCAGTTAAAAGTATAATTTTGTTTTCTTTTTATTAAAAAAACAAAAACAAAAACAAAACAAAAAAACACCAGGATTTTCATCACTGATATCTGTTCAAAACTCCTGTTAATGTGTGGTGATTTTTTTTTTTGTCCAAGAACGTGTAATGATATACTATGATTTTAAATCGAAAATTATCAGTGGGAAAGGTACATTGAAAGTAATGTACTTTTGTATGACCTTAAATTGAATACATATGGGTATCGAATTGCTTTTCACATATATATTTAAAAAAAGATATTTTTTACACTTAATTACCAAGTAAAATGTCTCTATGTCCAAGTAACCAAACAGCAGTTTTACTAACTGATACTTATACATCGATGTTTGACACTGGTTAACCAGGTGCTCAGTGACAACACTAGTACTAAGACTTAATCAAATGGCAAAGAAAAACAAACTTTCAGAGAGTCAAAGAAGAGTTTGCATCTTACCTTCACTTCTGGGTAAAAGTAAAGTTTGTCCTTTATCTTGGTTCTCTGCTTCAAGCAAAACTGATATCTCTAAAACCTGGGAACCAGGCAAGCCTAACCTTTTTCCTGTCAACACAAGATATGGAGTGGTCAACAAAACAGAAAGTTAAAATTATCAGACTTCATCTAATGAAAGTTATGAAATCTCTCAAAGTGAATGGAGTACAAAGAGCATGTACCTTACCCTCCTCTATAAGGAAGCTTGCAGTCAATCAATACTCATAACTCTTCTATAACATGAGAATCTACTCTTGAACATACATTGTAGGATCTAGGGTTGCCTGTTAACAATGTAGTCAGTAAATGTTATTTTAATCAAGTAATAAGAAAGAGTGATGCAACTAAAATACTAAAGGAAATGCAGCTTTTGCCTTACCTGTAGGATTAGCATCAGTCAATTTCAGCTCTACGTACTCTTGCTGGCAAGTGATGCACTCTGCTTAATCTTAGGATGGGTACTGTCTCTGAATGCTTCTGCAAAATACAAATTTAAGATCAAGAGAGGTTCATATCTACATCAAGTATGAAAGTGCACCATAAATGGAGTCTGCACAAGGAGAAAGAGAAGGTCTTTGTATCTTACCCTTTCTTCTATGGTTGGCTGCAGTTGATCCTAGCTTCCTTGATTCATTGCGACAATTAATTGAGTCTTTTTTGTAGGATCAAGGCTTGTCAAGTCAATAATCTGTTAACATAGAAATTCAAGGGGTCAAAAGAGTCCCTTATCTGAATCAACAGAAATCCAAAATACAATAAATATAGCTGGTTTCTTACCACTTTGGCCAATGTTGGCCTGTTCACATTATGGATACCCTGTATCCTGGCAATGGTCTCCTCTTCATTGTGTTTCTGGTTGCCATCTGTCCATCCTCCTCTGTACCCTTGGCAATGAAAGAAACTGATAAAAGATTAGTACAGTTCTAAAGCAATGAAAGAGAAAGGAGAAAAGATTATACCTATTTAAGGCTGCTTGACAAAGGTTCCATGTCTTGCTGCTTCAGATGGGCATTCTGTCAATTGAAATTCAAGAGGTTAAAGTGGGACTAAGTCTAGATAATTTTGAAAACGATTTAAAAATTAGAGGTACTGTGAACGTGGAGCTCATAAAAATGGTACAACCCCTCTTATATGTGTACTGTGGCAAATTCCATGTTTTGCTATGGAAATCCCCAATAATTTGCAAAACCAAAACGTAAAATAGTCTTAAAAATAATCTTTAAAATAGATTCTGTGGAAGTCTCAAATTTTATTCAATGGTTATAGGTAGAGTTGTGAATAAGAGATGGGTACTCCAAATATTAAAGATAGAAAAGCAGTGTCCACAATTACATATGGGAAACCCAATTATGTGTCAAATCAAAGGCATAATTGCACTTTGTAATATAAAGACTCTAAAAGTCTCACTGAATTTTATTCAGTGGATATTGGAGAAGTTGCAAATAAGAGATAGCTTCCTCAAAATGTAATGGATAGACAAAAGGAAGGACAGACAACCCTGTAATTCAGATAACCCTCACTTTTCAAGCTGGGGGGGGGGGGGGGGGTAAATAAGGAAATTTGCGTTAGAAGAAAAGAGAGAACCTTACCATATCTTTCAAGGTAGGCCTCAGTTTACACTCTTCTTCACTGCAGGGTCTAGGCAATCCAACCTCTTGCCCTGCTAAGGCAGAACAATAAATGCTTATATTACTGCAACTTTTTCTTATGAACACAATGTAAAAGAAATTAAGGAAGAGACAAACAAGAAGTAAACTTTGTATATTACCCTAGCATGGTTGGTTGTCGCAGTAAATCCTTCTGGTCTGGACTTTTTTCTGTCTAACTGGACAATGTAAAACTGGTGATGGTGGACAATCTAATACTCTAAAAAAATAAATGAAGGTCAATAAAAAAAGGAAGATTTCAGCAAATGAAAAAAAGATATAAAATCCCACACATTAACAGGTTGTTTTTCAAAAACAGATGCCCAGTCCATGATAAATTATTTAATGTTGGTACCCAAAGAAAGACCTAACAAGGAGAAGTCTTACCCTCACTTCTAGGTTAGGCCACTGTTCATCCTTACTCCTGGCACTCTAGTTGAATCATGACAGTCTGCTCTGAAACATGGTTTCCAGTATAACTCTCTACCTGTTCAAATAGAATGTGAAGAGGTAAACTCAGACATCATCAAGTGAAAAAAGTTTGAATCTCTCGGAGTGTATGGAGTAAATATTGTGACTTTACCCTTTTTAGATTTCTGTACTCTTGCTTACACTCATCTTAATCTTCGGATTGGCTACCACTTCTTTAGGATTGCTGCTGCTTGTCCCTGCTTCTGTAGGATTAAGTGCTGCTTGTCCCTGCTTCTGTAGGATTAAGTACTGCTTGTCCCTGCTTCTGTAGGATTAAGTGCTGCTTGTCCCTGCTTCTGTAGGATTAAGTGCTGCTTGTCCCTGCTTCTGTAGGATTAAGTGCTGCTTGTCCCTGCTTCAGTAGGATTATGGTTACTGTACTGCTTGTCCCTGCATCCATAAGATTAAATACTGTTTGTCCCTGCATCCATAAGATTAAATACTGCTTGTCCCTGCATCCATAAGATTAAATAATGCTTGTTCCTGCATCCGTAAGATTAAATACTGCTTGCCCATGCATCTGTAAGATTAAATACTGCTTGTCCCTGCATCTGTAAGAATAAATACTGCTTGTCCCTGCATCTGTAAGATAAAACACTACTTCTGTAAGGTTGGTTACTGCTTGTCCCTGCATCTGTAAGAATAAATACTGCTTGTCCCTGCATCTGTAACTTCAAATACGGCTTGTCCCTGCATCTGTAAGATTAAATACTGCTTGTCCTTGCATCTGTAACATTAAATACTGCTTGTCCCTGCATCTGTAACATTAAATACTGCTTGTCCATGCATCTGTAAGACAAAATACTGCTTATCACTGCTTTTGTAAGGTTGGCTACTGCTTGTCCCTGCATCTGTAAGATTAAATACTGCTTGTCCCTGCATCTGTAAGATTAAATACTGCTTGTCCATGCATCTGTAAGATTAAATACTGCTTGCCCATGCAACTGTAAGATTAAATACTGCTTGTCCCTGCATCTGTAAAATTAAATACTGCTTGTCCATGCATCTGTAAGACAAAATACTGCTTATCACTGCTTCTGTAAGGTTGGCTACTGTTTGTCCCTGCATCTGTAAGATTAAATACTGCTTGTCCATACATCTGTAAGATTAAATACTGCTTGTCCCTGCATCTGTAACATTCAATACTGCTTGTCCCTGCTTCTGTAAGATTAAATACTGCTTGTCCATGCATCTGTAACATTAAATACTGCTTGTCCCTGCATCTGTAAGATTAAAAACTGCTTGTCCATGCATCTGTAACATTAAATACTGCTTGTCCATGCATCTGTAAGATTAAAAACTGCTTGTCCATGCATCTGTAAGATTAAATACTGCTTGTCCCTGCATCTGTAAGATTAAATACTGCTTGTCCCTGCTTCTGTAAGGTTGGCTACTGCTTGTCCCTGCATCTGTAAGATTAAATACTGCTTGTCCATGCATCTGTAAGATTAAATACTGCTTGTTCCTGCTTCTGTAACATTAAATACTGCTTGTCCATGCATCTATAAGATTAAATACATATATATACATATATATACACAGTCAAACCTCGTAATCTCAAACTTAAAGGGACCAAATTTCAAAATATCTTAGGATTCCAAATATCTAGAGTAAAATACTGAAAGAATAGGGTAAAGACTTCCAAATCACTTAAACATATCCATGATTTTTGAGATATCAATGTTCGAGATGCCAAAGTTCAACTGTGTATTTAACTTTTTCTTAATTTTTTTTTGTTTTTTTTTTTTTGTATTTTTTTTGTATTTTTTTTTTTTTTTTTTTGTATTTTTTTGTATTTTTTTTTTTTTTTTTGTATTTTTTTTTTTTTTTTTTGTATTTTTTTGTATTTTTTTTTTTTTTTTGTATTTTTTTTTTTTTTTGGCATACATATATACATACTTTTTAAATATTTTCCTTATGTATAAGATGAACCCCAACACCATGATGTTGTATATACAACTAAACATCAATGAGTTGGTGCCCATCTCAAAGGGCCTCGCTCTTACTAAAGGATATTAGGATGAAAGGGCATTGCAAAGGACCTTGACATTTGACTTGCACCTTCAATCCAATGGCACTATGGTAGATGTATGAGATGAAGCTCAAGGAAACACAAAATAATGATCATGACAATAATTTCACACAGATGTCTGCTATGACCTTGAAACCTGACCCAAAACTTGGTTTAAAGCTTAAGTACACCATTAAACAAATTGGAACTCTATGGGTTGCTGAGTAAATATGAGCTGAATAGAGCCAGGGCTTAGTATAAAACAACACAAACCTCTTTGGATAAAAATCATATCCAACCATAAACCCTGGGAGATTTTATTATGTAAACAGAAATGTTGTTTACCACTGATCTTTGGTTTAAGGACTCTGCAAAGGTGAGAGAAATGTGCTCACTATGATAAAGATGACAAGACCTTGACTTCTGCCTAGAAGCTGTTCGCTACTTCACATCCTTTACCACTTGGCACTATATATAGGTGAAGTATAAGCCAGAAAGGGCTAAAATGAGAAAAAATATGCTCCAGATAAGGATTACATGCAGATGTGGTTTTTACTTTGACCTTTTACTTAGAAAAATGGTTCAAGGTAACTGCAGTTTAAACCAGATTGAGGCAAGGGGAGAGTATGTATTATGGGTAAACAATATCAGACAGACAGACAAACTGATCATTATCATAGCGGGCCCTAAATATTGAAAACAAAACCACTCACTTTACATCTACGTCTGGACAGAGATGCTGAGGCGAGGCGAGGGTTGTGGTGGACGTACAAACAGATGTGTGTGCAGATGAGACAATCAAACATTAATTAAACAATATTGAAAACAATAAACATTGGAATTTACACATTTACACATATACAAATACATGGAAAATACAATAAAAATGCACTTGTCAAAAAGGACATATACCAAAAATTGTAGAACACAGTACAAAATATGCCATAATTCAAATACTGCACAGAGAATTCTTTTTTATGAAAAAAAAAGAAAGCACTTAAATCTTATCTTTCTCCTGATCACATCTAAAATGTAGGTTAAATGCAGCATTCAATGACCATGCAGCAGATGCAACATTGTAAGAGGCAGCATGAGAGCCAGGAGACTATGCCAAAAATAGGCAATACAAGTGTAAAATGTAGGTCAGATGCAGCATCCAAAGTAAGCATCAGAGTCAACATCCAAACATATATGATAAAGAACAAGATCAGTTTGGAACTAAATCTAAATAATGAAAACAAACTGAACCATTGAAGCACGAAAAGTAGGTCAGCTTCAGTATCAGAGGAAGCATTCATAGAAGCATCAAGTACAAATTTGGTTTAATTATTGCTTATGAGAAGCTGAGGATAAATCTAAATGATAAGTTCATTAACCAAAGTAACTAAAGCATAAAAATACAGTTCATATGCATTAGCAAAGATATGCATCAAATGAACGGTTGATATGGTCTCTGACTGAAACAGACAGACAGGCATAGTGATAATAATATTATACATCAATTCATTAATACAGTAAAACTCAGTTTTAGCGAAGTTCTGGAGACCTGCGAATTTACTTCACTATATCCATAATTTGTTATATCCGTATAACGAATTACTTAGAGTATACAAAGTGAGTTCGCTTTTTTCATTCAAATATGTCTACCAAATGTATTTAACTTCCAGGAGACACAAAATCAGTTCACTATAACCGTAAATTTGCTTTATCCGAGTTCGTTATATTCGTACAATTTAAGAAGGAATTGTTATGAATTTTGCTGGGAATTAAAAAAAAATCGCTATATCCGTAAATTCATTATATCGGATATAATGAATTTATCCCTGTTCGTACTAAACGAGTTTTACTGTACTAGTGTTGAACAATATGGAAACTTTCAAAATTATCATCACTTATAATCAGTAGCTTTAAATTGATCAAGGATACAAATCGTCAGAACTTTCAAAAAAAAAAATTCATGGCTAGCGGATGCCGTGAGGAAACTGAAGGTAACTGAAGGAAACTGAAACTTTGTGTCCAATTTTTTTTGGGAAAACATGAACAAAACAAAGCATACAGAAATGTTCATTATGCAAAGCACACTACATTTCATTTTCTCAGCAATGTAATTCATAAAATTCCTAATGAAAGATTTGAATCGGTAAGCGTATGTCGATGGTCAACCAATTATCAGTGATAATCTTTTCTTTACTTATCATAACTTAATACAGTCATTAAATACATCAACCACATAGTATAATTAAACAAATAGTTATATCTCAGGGAAGGAACCTATAATTAAAGATAAGTAAATAAATAAAGAGTGAAAAGAAATGGATCCCCACCTTCAATCATAAACATTTAACTTTAACAGTAATCTTACTCCTAATGGAAAGATTTTATAAGGGAAATTTAATTATGAAATTTATTTCCTGAAATTGATACTGTTGTTTTAGACTTTATTTACAGAGAGAAGAAAAATGTCCTTTTTATTTTTACAAAAATTAACCTCTGAGCTTACTGACAAATTACAGATAACAGTGGAAAACTGAAATTACCAACGTATTTAACGATTACAAAATACTAATAATTACTTAAATCTTAGAAAAATAAATAATAAAGTGAAATTAAATCTCAGTTAAGCAATAAATAATCCAAATTTTAACTGAACTCGCGCAATCTTGGGGTTAAGAAAGGGAAATTTATAAGCTATGAATTATTTATGAAGTTTAGAATACAGGGAATCCATGAGATATACAAATTCACACAAACACATTGGTATAATATATCTATATACATTACAAATCAATAAAATTTTAACTTTAACATTGATCAAAGACACATCAGGGACATCTCAAGGTCATAACTAAAAATTACAGGTAAATGAATTAAAGGTAAATTAATGGAAATTATGCACATCACAATAGTAAGCCTAAATTAATTAAGTTAAATGTCTAATTCATATCTCCAAAAATTATTTCTGAAAATAAAGAAAGATTAAATTGAGAAAAAATTAGGAACTAGATTTGAATAATTAATTAATGGTAACAAATTTAAATTACTCTCATGAATGCAGTGGCTAAATAACGGTGTGTGCTTGAGTTGAGATATTTAACCACTAGCCTTCACGAGAAAATCGCGAGAGAGAATGGGGCCTCATTTTATCTTAATAATTAATTAGGTATTAAATCTAAAAATTTTACTAAGGACTGAAATAAAGAAAGGAAAAATCAGAATACTCGACTTTAGTCTAATTATAAAACAGAGGAAAGAAAGATAAGTTCTAACAATATGTTCTAATTAACCAAAATATTCAATGGACAAATGATTTATAAAGGACCCTTGAGATGCCCCCAAAAATATACAATGTATTTATATTACAATGTAACCTTGATCTTCAAAAATATTTCCATGTGTTTAAAAAAATTAGCTTTTACTTCCTAAAAAGTAATCCCAATTACAACTATAGCAACCCAATTACAACTATAGCAACCCAATTACAACTATAGCAGGGGTTCGAATCCCACTGTGGGACATGGAGACCAGTCCTTCGGATGAGACGGTATAAACCGAGGTCCCGTGTTGCAGTAGGTGCTGGCACGAAAAAGATCCCTCACTGCTCAATGGCCCTAAGTGCTGAGTATAGGTCAGAATTTGTAGCTCTCCACCAGCAAGTGTTGGCATCTCCATATGAGTGAAAAATTCTCGAGAGGGACATTAAACAATAAACAAACAAACAAACAACTACCGGTATAGCAGACCCGTGTAGAAAAGATTATAAGTCCTACTTAATAAACCAAATAAATACTTAGGTTTACAATCAACAAGGCCTATCTGAGATATACATAAAATGAATGCACAGTACAACATATAAAATACAAAATATCAAACAAAATACTGAACCCATCATGCACACACAGGAAGTAATAAAAATGGAAAAGAAACCCTCAATGAAAACTCTATAGATTTTACTTCTTTGCAGGAATTTAATGATTTTAGTTTCTCTTCTATGAAAATTTGAATAACTTTAATTTTAAAACCTGAAAAATTGAAATTGATGGAAAATAAATTTAACCCTATTTATCAATGAAAACAAGAAAGAGGGAATTAAAACTCAGTCTTAAGAAATGAATTTAAGCTTTAATTATAACTTTAATTAATGTCAATGCCTGTATGATGGCCGGTGATACTATGGTCAACTTTAAATGAACACAAAATCCAAAGGGAGATTGTAAAAATCAACCAAACCATTCAGTTTTTAGGAAAATTTAAAACTAATCACTAGTTACTGTAGTTTTAGTGAAATTCACAGCTGATCACTTAATTCTTGTTGTTTAAGGAAAATTTAAACCAAAATGCTTAGTTATTGTAAGTTTGAGAAAAAATTAAACCTAGTAACTCGATCAGTTTAACTTATTTTAGTCGCAGAAAAATTTAAACTTAATCACTAGTAATTGTATTTTAAGAAAATTCATAATTCAAATAACCTCTTGTTTAATTTCCTTAAGTTTTTAATTTTACTTTAGTTTAAGATTTGATTAAAATTAAAGAACAGGAGGAAAATGAAGCCCTTGGCCCTATTTATCAACTACCGGTAAATTAAACCTCAACATTTAGTTACTCTCCTGAATAACTACATCTAAATAACGGTGTGTGCTTGCATTGAGATATTTAGATGTA